GTCGGGAGGACTTCCCAAGATTTGGATACTTTTAAGTAGGTTAATTTGGATACTTTTAAGTAGGTTTCTGCTTGTGTGAGACACACAAGTGACCAAAAGAACACTGACCTGGGATGCCATTTAATTTCTCACACAATGAGTATTATTATGACGTCTCAGCGAGATTGGCTAGTCAGGTCTGTGCTACACATTTCTGAGCTGTGGATTACTCAAGCCATTCCAATTTGGGTTCTTAATTGCTGTCAGAAAGACTTTCATCCCTTTAATGCTGGTTATGTTCAAACCCAGGTTCTAGTGATGAAAAATTGGCAAAAAAATCCATTCAAATTCCCACAGTAAAAAGTAATAGCGAACTTTTTGAAAGGTCTAGTTACCGCATTCCTGTTCCATGTCACACGAGCGTTTTGTTGAGGTGTATTATATGACCTATGCAAACACTAGAGCATCAACCCATATCTGTAGCTCCAAGTATTGAGGTTGGGCTGCATTTCAAATGTGTCAGAACAAATCTGTCCTACATTTCCTTTGCATACCTAACTGTCGTATACATTTTCACACAGCAATTTCACAATTAACCTTTTAACAACATAGAACAATCTTTCATATCCTCCAGGGGACAGAGTGAAGCCAGGAACAACAGCAGTTCTGGATACTGACACCATCCCCGAAGAAAATAAATGTATCAAAGTTCCTTGAAGTATTAACATTGAAGCTGGTTGGCTCATTTGGTATGTAGTTAATTTCTAAAGCACACTGAAAGGTGCACTATAGGCTTGAGTTCTGATCATTTTTGGAAGAAGATCCAACACTTTGGCAAGAAAGTGATTGCCATGTAAATGAACTAAAATTAATGTCTAATTGTATTGGACATGGGAAGGTTTTGCAATGAAACGATCATGTGAAAGGAGGTGGATTCATGGTTAGAGCTCCTGCACTTGCTCACGTACTGGAATGTAATATTGATGGGTAATTTGCTGCTGTCTGGCAATAGTAACTATGAACTCAGGTACCCATTGCATTTCATGAGGAATATAGGATTAGAATCTTAGAGAAGGATGTCAGGTGCAGATATTAATAATAATTCTTGCATTAAATATAGTACCATTCACTTTGGAGGAAATTTCAAAGTGCTTTACAGGATTTACTGTAAAATGCAGTGACTGTGAATTTTTTAGGTGAATGTATCGGCCAATTTGAGTATCGTGATATCTCACAAACTGCCCTGAGGTGAATGGCACATTGTATCTGGGGGATTGTTGGCCAGGACACTGGGAAAAACTCCCTTCTCTTTTCAGATGTTGCAAATGGGATCTTTAACGTCCACCTGAACAGGAAGATGGAGCCTCATTTTAACATCTCGACCAAACAACGGCATCTCTAGCGGTATAGAACCCCTCTCCCCCAGCACTGCTCTGCAATGTCAGCCTTGTCTGTGGGGCTTGAACCCACAATCTTTTGACTCAGAGGTGAGAGTGCTACCATCTTAGCCAGGCTACCATCTGGCTACCAGGCTACCAACTGATCAGGCTGGTCTCGCATGAAATGGAACCTGGGTCAGGCTATCTCAAGAAAAGGGGCAGGGTTGGGCTGGTGAATTAGGAATCTTCTTAGTTTAGTTGAATCTCATATGGTAGGGAAGAGCAATGCTAAGATCATGGAGGTGATAGTTGTGTAAATCAGAACTTTTAGACATCATACATGCAATTGAAGTACAGGTCAGGGGGTGATTTTAAGTGGTCTGTGATTGCTAAGATTTTACTTGGTTGCTCCACTGAGGATAAGGTTATTTTGTGGAAGAAATGCTAACATTTGGGTTTTTGTAGTGCAGTGATAGGCTGCTTTACATCACTAACCAGCCTTCAAATTGGGGAAATAACAGGATGGATTGGAATTAAATTAACTGAATATTTGATCAAAATCAAACATGGTAGTTCAGCACAGGCCATTACTGTTTGCAATAGGTAGTCAGACCAAACTGAATAAAGCCTTGGTACTGCCATTGAAGAATCAATTTCTCACACAAAGTTCTCCTCCCCTCCATTTAGTTTTGTATAGCAGCAAAGCATCACCACAAATTGGCAGAGGAAGATGTTTGTAGAGGTATCTTCTTTCAAGCTTCCTGTTACTATCTTTAGAAGGAAGTTATCTCCTTCAGAGCTTGGCCAGCAGAGAAGAGGGAAAAGGAACAAGCAAACTAATTCTGATTCCCCAGGAGGATTTTACAAACACTTATAAAGGTTGCATCTTGGTTCAACAATGCTGATTTTTGCTGTGATGGGAGAGCTGAACAGTGATTCGAAATGACCAGAAAGAACTGCTCTATGGTGGACTTGATGTTGGACACCGAGTTTTGCTCATTTACCAAATGCTTGAAGCTTCTCTGAGAATGATGCAGCTGAAAGTTGGCTCTCTGGTAATCTGATAAAATCTTTTCGTTTTCTTTTTGTTGCCTGGTCTTCAAAGCGCTTCCATAATTGGTTTAACGCTACAGGAAATCTTTCATTAAAACTGGACTATGAAAGAATCCCAGTGCACTATTTAGCTGCGTGGACAAGATGTCACATTCTGGAGCATGAAGTATGATTTGCTTGGGCTGAACCCAGGTGAAATCTGGATATTATGGTTGCTACACGGGATCCCAGTGTGAGCTAGTAACATCCTGCTTGACTCTATTCCAATATGCCCAATCTTACAGCCAAACCTTGTGCTTGCTGTTCCTTTCAGGATACCAATGAACAAGTTTGGGAGGAGATCAAGTGGTACCCTGTTACAGTTGGTCATTATTAGGTTTAAATAGGTGTTGCTTGATGGAGGGCAAAGCACGTGTCTGCAACTGTGAGCAGTTGATTAGGAGAGGCAGGACAGGTGTAGTGGTCCTTTTGTGTGTTGCACATAATCTTCACAAGGGCAACTAGAGTGTATCACCTGGAGAATGGAACATGTTCTGACATTCTGTGGACAGCATTTTACAAGTACGCAAAGTGGTATCATCGTCAGAATCAGATGATGAATTGTGAACTGCAGTTAAAATCACCATCTTTTCAGGAAAGGCTTCTGTTTACAGGGCTTCAAAGGTATTTCATTCCAAATCTGACCGATTGGGGATTGCCAACATATACTTAATAATAATCCTTGCATTTGATAAAGCTCCTTATCATATGATTGAGACGCCTCAAAGTGCTTCACAGAATATATTGTAAAGTGGGCTGACTGTATTTTGTGGGCGAAACACAGCAGCCAATTGCACGCAGCAGTGTGTCACAAACAGTGGTGCATTAAGTCACCAAATTTACTTGTAACATCTTGGTACGGACAGCGAAAATACACCATTTCGAATCATTTGTTGACATTTGTAAATAAGTATAAGTATGTCCTGAAGCTCTGTCAAAGGCAATGTGCGAAGAGATGTCCTTTAGTTGGATTGAGGTACCGGTTAATCTCCTGAGAACATTTCTTGAATCATTGTGTGCAGCTTCTTTTGTGGGAATTGTTTTCAGGATCAAAGGTAGGTTAAAACAAAAGTAACCAAAATATATCAATTTTGATTCCTTTTTCCAATAATGTTACTTTTACTCCTTTATGCCCCGTAGGACTTCTTTCATCACTTGGAAATTTACTTCTCGCTGTCAAAGTATCATGTTTCCGTGTGGTACATTCTTTGTAATCTTTGTATTCCAAATAAGAACTAAGAATGAGGAGAGGCCATTTTTCTCAAGTGTGTTGTCTCCACATAGTGTGTACAATTTGTCCTATTATGGACACGATCTAATTCACTCAAACTTCTCAGGGAGCCAATCAACTCAGGTAAACCTTCAAGAAAATAAAACTCTGCAAACTTCTCTCTGATTTCCCAGAATAATTGAGAAAGTCTTAAGAGCAATTTAACTTCATAATTCTTGCTTAGGCTTGGAATAGTTATATTCTACAGATGACTTCAGGCTTCAGCAGTGAGGAACTTATTGTCCTACAGAGAAGATTTGATCAACTCCATCTCGGGTCACAACTATGAAAATATCCAGCACTTTTCATAACAGAGATCAAGAAGATATGATTAAAAGCTCGTGATGGAAAATACAGTATTGGATTCCCACTACTTGATGTGTATGCGTGTGTGTGTTGGGGGGAGTGTTTTGATTTCTGGTCTTTTAGAAATCTCTAGCTGTATTCTCGTAGTTCAAATTAAATAGGGTAATTATCACATTGTCTATTACTAATCTGTATCATGTCCTCACTATCTTCTTTTCGCCAATGAAACAGTTAATTTCCAAGAGATGAATAATAATAATCCTTGCGTTGGTATAGCGCCCTATGTTGTTGAGATGTCTTAAAGTGCTTCACGGAATATACTGTAAAGTGGAGTGACTGCATATTTTGTGGGCAAAACAATTATTTTATGGACTGTATATTTTGTGGAGAGCCCTGTAGCTTAGTGGTTAGAGAACTTGCCTCACAAGCAAGAGACATGGGTTCGATTCCCAGCAAATCAAAATCTTGGGCAAGTTTCCTTACTCCACACAACTGATAATAATCTCTCAAGAAAAAAAAAACAATAATAAATTGGTCACTTCAATGCATGACTGTTTGTGGGGCACTGCTGTGTGCAATTGGCTGCCGCATTTCGCCCACAAATATACAGTCAATTCACTTTACAGTATATTCTGTGAAGCACTTTGAGATGTCTAGAAGATGTGAAAAACGCTATATCAAATGCAAGGGTTATTATTTGTATCCTCATTCTAACTTACAGCTCTAAATCCAGGATTCGCAGCTCTTCTTTGACTTCTTCCTATGGCATCAGCCTTCTTTTGAAGGTGGGCTCCCCACAAAACTACCTTCAGTATTTCAAATTTCATCTCACTCGTAAATTATAATAATCCTCTGTTTTGATGCTTTGGAGCTTGGTCACCAGCAATAAAATGAGCAGTGTGTCACATTTAAGATGCTGTTTTGTTAACCTGAATCAATAACACGTCTCAACTCTCTTTTTTGTGTGTGCGCAGGGCCTACATGAGTGTGAAGGAACTGAAGGAAACACTACTGATCAATGGTTCTGTGTACCTGAATGTTTATTTTGCCAACTCTGTACGAGAGGAGTTGGCAGGGGCTGCCACCTGGCCGTGGGATAAAGAAGCACTGAGCTACTTGGGTAAGTGCAATGAAGGGAGCTCCAGGGAAAAAAAACATAAAAAATGCTGAAGCGCAGAACAGTCAGTTCACAGGCAAATATTCCAACACAGCCTCTGGGTTTGTAATATGGGGAATGTGTGAAAAGCATAGCAGGAGGACTTGCTTCAAACCTTTTGTTCAGATGTCAGGCTCTTACCTTTGCTCTTTTACTTAGTGATTGGATGAAAGCATCCGTGGGATTTAATTGAGGTTATTGACAAATGCTTACTGATAGCTTTGCTGAGGAAACACTTAGAAAGCTGAGGACAACGTTCATGACATTTTGTTTAATGGCGATGAGTTGAGGAGTAAATAGTGGAAACAGGAGTGTTGCGCAATTCAATTGAACGATCACTAAAATTCATCTTCCCTCATTGGGTTCGGTAGCAGAAGACGTGCTTCAATTCAATCTAATTTTCCTATTGCCAAGCTACAGCCTGAGCCATTTCAGCTCAGCTTTATCGAGTGCACGTGTGATTTAGGATGGCTTGTGTTGACAGTGATGCTTGGTGCATTCCCAACTCATGACTGAAATGAATTCCGTATACAATGAGTAATCATTAAATAGATCCTGTTTTTCCTGTAGACACACAATAAAATATACTTTGGCTTTGCTTTCACATATCCCATTATTATGATTATGCCCCATTTATGCTACAAAGTACAATCATTTCAGAGGTCTGTTTTCTTGTTGCGTTGCCATTCAGTTGCTTTAAATAGTAACTCAGTGATAACAACAACAACAAAATTACATTTGTATAGCGCCTTTCACTTCGGGAGGACGTCCAAAGGCGCTGGACAGTGTACAGCAATTTCAGTCCTGAGCTGGGGTCAGGGAGGGAGAAGGGAGGGGAGGGGAAGGGGGGTGGCCGATAATAATAATAATAATCCTTGCATTTGATATAGCGCTTTTCACGTCGGAAGGATGTCCCAAAGCGCTTCACAGAGCACACTGTAAAGTGAATTGACTGTATATTTGTGGGCGAACGCGGCAGCCAATTGCGCACAGCAATGTCCCACAAACAGTCGTAGATTGAAAATGACCAATTTATTATTGTTTTTGTTTTTTTGGAGGGATTAGTATTAGGCGTGTGGAGTAAGGAAACTTGCCCAAGGTTTCGCCCTGCCTGGAATTGAACTCAGGTCTCTCGCTTGCAAAGCGAGTGCTCTAACTATTGAGCTACAGGACTCCACGATGGGATGGTCGAAGAGGAGGGTTTTGAGGTGGGACTTGAAGGAGGCTAAGGAGGGGGTGAGGCAGAGTGATTGGGGGATGGAATTCCAGAGGTTGGGGACAGAGTGGCTGAAGGCTGAAGGTGGGTCGGCGGATGTGGAGCAGGCCAGAGGTGGCTGAGCGGAGGGAACGAGCAGGTTGGTAGGGGGTTAGGAAGTCGCAGAGGTAGGGTGGGGTGAGGCCATGGAGGGCTTTGTAGGTGAGAACCAGGATCTTGAACTGGATCCTCTGAAGGATAGAGAGCCAATGGAGTCGGGCGAGAATGGACGAGAAAGGGTCACGGAGTTTGGTGTGGGAGAGGATACGGGCTGCAGAGTTCTGGATTATCTGCAGCCTGTGGAGGGAGGAGTTGGAAAGGCCGACAAGCAGTATGTTTGAATAATCGAGCCTGGAGGTGATAAAGGCAAGAACAAGAGTTTCAGCGGCCTGAGGGTGAGGTAGTGGCGGAGTTGGGCGATGTTACGGAGGTGAGGGAAGGCAGAGCGGTTCATGGCTTGAATGTGGGGAAGAAAAGACAGTTGAGGGTCGAACAAGACACCGAGGTTCCTGACTGGCTTGGTGAGTTGAAGTGTGCAACCATGGAGGTTGATGCTGCCAGAGCCTGAGGTGCAGAGGCGCTGGCGCGAGCCAATTGGGAGGGCCTCAGTTTTGTTCACATTCAACTGTAGGAAATTTGCTCTCATCTAGGACTTAATGTCTGACAGGCTGTCTGACAGGACAGCAGTGGTCCTGGATTTGAGGGTGAAGGCAGAAAGATAGAGTTGGGTGTCATCCGCATACTTATGGAAGTTGACCCCATGTCTGCAGATAATGTCACCAAGAGGAGCATGTAGATATTAAAGAGGAGTGGTCCAAGGACAGAGCCCGAGGGGACCCCAGAAATGACAGTGCGGGGGCTTGAGGAGAAACCGTTGGAGGCAACAAAGTGGAGATGGTGAGAGATAGGATTTGATCCAGACAAGGGCAGGTCCGCGAAGATTAAGTAAAGAGGAGAGGTGGTGTATGAGGATGGAGTGGTCGACAGTGTCGAAGGCGGCAGAGAGGTCGAGGAGGACAAGGAGGCAGAGGGAGCCCTGATCACAGATGTTCAGAATGTCATTAGTGACTTTGACCAGGGCTGTTTCCATGTTGTGGGAAGCGTGGAAGCCAGATTGGAGGGGTTCAAAGAGGGCATGGCGAAAAAGAAAGGAGCGGAGCTGGGACTCGTTCCAGGACCTTGGAGAGGAATGGGAGGTTAGAGATGGGGCGGTAACTGGAGACGAGGGATGGTCCAGGGAAGGTTTTTTCAGGATGGGGATGATGACGGCTGTTTTTAGGGTGGTGCGAACTGAACTGTTGGACAAGGAGAGGTTGATGACATCGGAAGGTGGTGCTGGGATATGAGGAGAGAGGTGGGGATGGGATCGAGGGAGCAGGTGGTGGGTTTGAGTTTGCGAACGATGGCGGTGAGGGAGGAGTGAGAGATGGGGTCGGAGGAGTATGGGGTGGGGTGAATGGGTTGGGGGTGGTCATGAGGGAGAGGTGATGTGGGGATGGCGGTGGACGGGCCAGAGGTGGCTGAACTTATCCCCTCGATTTTGGATTCGAGGAAGTCCAGCATCTCCTCACAGTTGGAGTTTGAGGAGAGAATGGGTGAGGCGTGGGAAGGTGGATGGAGGAGGCAGTTTGTGGTGGAAAGGAGAAGCCTCGGGTTGTCGTTTGCCTCCAAGATAACCTTGGAGTAGAAGGAGGATTTGGTAGAAGCAAGAGCGCATCGGTAGGTCTTGGTATGTTGAATCCAAATCTGCCGATGGACCGTTAGTTTGGATTTGGTCCAGCCGCGTTCGGGTGCACACACTATCAGAGTGTTATGTTCCAACATTGGCTCATGGTAGTTTACCACTGCATTTCCAGTAATAACTTCTAACTGCTTTAATGAGCTGGAAATGAAACCCTTGAGTCCCATCAGTTACGATATACAATAACAGCAGCAGCACAGGCCAGCAAAAGCATTTTAATCGAAAGGAACTAGGCAGGCAGCCCAGCTTCACTGAGCAAGAAGTCAGTTTTAAGTGGGCAGTAGTTCTGATCTGAAACCACCTTTGCCCTATTCTCCAAATTGTAGGATACATTGAAAAGCATGGCTGCAGAGTAAAAAGAACCATGATTATTGTCTGAAAAAGTTCAATAACTTGGAAAAGATTGTGTTCTAACCCATTGTCAAAAAAACATCTGGAGGATAAGACTGAGGGAGACTGATTTACCAGGGGAGCATATGGATCGGTATTGTGGTTGAGTCCTTCACTCTGTGATGTTGGTGGTGCCAACATTGCTCATGTAGTCAATGTCTTTGTTGTGTAATGTAATTATTCATTTAAGAAACATTTTTGCTCAATATAGCAAATAACCTCTCAATGATCTGCAACTTTACTTTCTAGCTTTACCTTCAGGTAACTAACTAAACTTATCCCATCGGTGCCAATTATAGCTAGAGTCTGCCCTGAGCTCCCTGCGAGGAGAATGGATTATCCTGCATTTGTTGCTTTGCAATTCTGAACTTCTGTCTCTTGTTCTAATATCTTAGTGCATCCTAAAGTGTGGTTGTTGTTGCCCACAAGTCACCCCTCATCTTTTTAATGTTGATTCCTCTGTCCTCTCAGCTGCTTGCTCACCCCCTAGCAAAGCTCATTCCATGCACATTTTCCTTTACTTCTATACTTGCATCAGGGTTAGTTCTCAGCACTATGGAGATACATTGACTGGACATTGGCATGGAGACACCTTCTTGTTCATTCTGTGAGACATCTCCTTTCCATCAGAATAGTTTCCATTATCTTAACCGCTTGCTGCCAGAGCAGTTCATCACACCTTGTTCTCGCATTGTTCTCTCAGTAAACAACTTCAGCTGCCCCTTGTTCTCCTTTCCATTGTTGCTCACATCGGCGGGTTTGAAATTAGAAATGTTGGACAGGTACTGCTCCAGCAACTGCTTACTTTATTCACTTATCATTCATAGCTCCCCGATGTTCTGGCACTCTGTGCACTAATGAGAGTATAAATGTTCTCAAAGCTAGCATGCAGTCCTACAACTGACCCTAGGTAACAGAGTCACTCCCCACTTCATTTCCTTACTCAACTGTCAATTTTTAAAACATATGCACAGCACATATGAGCCAGGAATATAAATATTTAGGTGAGGACTGTGACAAATTCTAAAGGTAATGTTTCTGAAAAGTTAGCTGCTTGTTTTCCACTGTCTGGCTCTCAGATACCAACCTCCCAATCACCAACAAAGTATCTCTCTCTCAGCCACCATCTTACCACCAACAGAGATAGCCAGTATAAAAAAGAATGACAGATTGACAGACACATAAAACTGTCCGTGCTTCTCTCAAATACTAGTTCCTCTATCACCAGCATCGATGTTCCATTACACATATTGGGTTTCTTCAGGTTTAGTGAAAACCTATCTGACCTTGGAACATGAATATGCTTTCCAAAGGCTATGGACTTAATGGGACACATACTTAAGCCAAAGCCAAGCATGCACCAGATGTGCGTGAATTATTAACTTTTACCTAAGGACTTTCTGTGCTGTAATACACACATTGTGCAGACATCTTGGCTCAGCTTGATAATGCAAATATGTTTTGTATTGGCCCTAGAGTATCATAAGTGTAGAAAATGATTCTTGTGATGTGCACTGCTCAGTATTGGCCTACAAAATGTACTCATCTGATGGTAGTATAAAATGAGAAAACTTCATGTTATTCCATAGGGAAGAGAAGGTGTCACCGCCTATGGAGGTGTGTATCAAACAGAACAGGTATTCAGCTTCTTTGATTCTCTGGGCTGGAGGTTATCATGTTCACTAAGCTCATGTTGCACCAAAGCATATGGAGCAGGAAGCTCCAAGCTTGAATCCATGTTGTGTTCACTGAGATCAGCTGAACTGGCTAAATATTAGCCTGGATTCCCAATCCTCAGCACAACCCAGTTCCTTGCTGCTGGCAAACGTGTGTGAGAGTTTGGGGTGAGAACAAGATTAGGGTTTGCTATGAATATTCTCCCCACAATGAACAGCGTCCCGGTACTCAATTGGAGGAAGTAATAGAAGAGGAACTGTACCACAAAGGAAAAAGGAAAACATTTTTGTCTCCATAACAAAGTTAGTACTGGACATACAGTTGCTTTTCTTTATCTGGTTTGCGTGAGGCTGGTGCCTTATTTCAAATATGAACGTAATAAAAAGAAATAAAATGAAATGTACTGGAGCAGGAATTTAAGGACTCCAGTCAGGGAGACGGTGAAGAAATGCCCATTCCTATTAAAATATTTTACTGGCACTTATGTAGCCAATAAAACTCTCCTGCCAGTCTATCTTAAGAAGTGAGCCCTCATTAGGGGCACTTTTACTGAGTTCCCGCCGGCTGAGCTAATCACTTTCTTGATGTTGCAAATATTAAAGCAAGGTGAACCTTTCAATATTTTACTGCATCTTGCGAGATGTGGTTTTGTTCCCGCCCTCTGGAAAGGACCGTGGCAGATTTCATACAGTAAAATAAACATTCTTTTATTGAGTACAGATCATTTCATCACGCAAGCAGCAGTCCGGCAGAGCCAGCAACCATTTCTATTGGTGCTCCAGCTCTGGTACCTCTAGCTTCCAATATTTCTCATCATAAAGGTATAACAAAAAGATTGCTTTTTCTGCCATAAACATATGATAGATGCTGTTGTCTCTCTTTTGCTATCTCTGTCGCCTTCTGTCTGCCTCTTGTGCACTGCTCCTCGAACGGTGTCTGCCTCTCATGCTGTGCCTGTTTCTCACACATTCACTCTGTCTCCCAAGCTCTGGTGGTCTCTTGTCTGACTCTAGTAATCTGAGTTTCATGTGTTGTGAGTTTATCTCTCGCACGCTGTCTGTTGCACAGTGCCTGTTGCATTCTGAATGAAGGAAATTGCAGCTCTCCTACCCATTACCCTAGCCAAACTTGGTGATCTCAGAACAGACCTGTTATTGATCCAGAGTCATTGTCGGTCTGTATGGCTCAAGACACCTCCAGGTAGTACAGCTATCCACTGGACTGGAACTGGACACTGCACCACAAACAATTGGTGGCTTTCATCTCACTAATCTAAACCACTTTACTATCTTCATTCATTTAAACCTAGGCAAGACTGAAGTTCTCCTGCTCGGAGGTGCTTTCTCACCACAGACATTGACAGCATTAACCTGCATGGATGCTCACTCCATTTGGTTCATGTCCCCCCACCCCACCCCCTTCTCAATCCATCCCAAGCATCAGCTTTGAGACGTCCTCTCATGAAAGGCACTGTATCAATGTGAATTGTATTATATTATAACCCAGGTATTAACTGGCAGAGGTAAGTGACTTGTGTTCTAATATCACTACCAGTCCTCAAATGCTTTCCAGAATCTGTGACACTCGGACCAAAACATGTGAAGGTTTATTTTGGGTTTGGGAAATTTAAACACCGAGAGTGGAATTCTCTCTCTCTTCTAAATACCACCCTGATGGGATATCAGAATGGGTTTACTGATATTATCTTGTATTTATTTCAGGTGGGGTCGTCCTAAATCCATCCTACTATGGAAGGCCTGGCCACACAAACACGATGATTCACGAGCTTGGTCATATTCTGGGCTTGTACCATGTCTTTAAGGGTGTGAGTGAAAAGGAGTCATGCGATGACCCATGCCGAGAAACTGTGCCTTCCTTGGAGACTGGAGACCTCTGTGCTGACACCGCACCAACTCCTAAAAGTAAACTCTGCCGGGATCCTGACATAGTAAACGACACTTGTGGACCAATGCAATACTACAAGACCCCATTTAACAATTACATGAGCTATACAGGTATGTGTCCTAAATCAGCGCCAAATGCTTTTTCCTACTCACTTTGATGTTACATTTCAGGTATGTTTTAGGCTGCCCACGTCGCACCCAAATCGAATCTTGCTTAATTGTTAAAATCTTTCTTAGGAGGATAGATAATAGTAATGGACCTCTGCATTTTGTTACTGGTCCTTTACATATCTATTCTGCTATAAAGGATTTCGGATCTACGTTGTAAAAGCTGCCCACGTAATGGGGAATGTGATAACTGTTACTCTTAACTCTGTAGATTATTGTGCTGTGGGCCATTGGATTGATAGTAATAATAATCCTTGCATTTGATATTGCTCCGTATCACTTCAAAATATCTCACAGCACTTCACAGAGTTTTTTCTGTAAAGTATAGTGACTAGTTGTAATGAATGCCACATCCAATTTGCTATGAAGTGAATGAACAATTCTTATCTGGGGGAATTGTTGGCCAGGACATGGATGGAATTCTCTTCCATATTTGAATTGTGCCTTGAGATCCTTTAACGTCCACCAGCTTAGACAGATGGGTTAAGGGTTTAATGTTTTATCTCAAGGATGGCACCTCTGACAATGCAGCAGTCCACCCAAAACTGCATTGGAGTACCAGTCTGGACTATTAGCTCAAAGTCGCAGCGTGCAGCTTGAACCACAGAACTTTCTTTAGAGGTTAGACTGCTGCCCAACTAAGACAAGCTAAAGTCAATGATAACACACTTACTGACTGTTACATTGGGTGAGGTAGGTAGTATTCAAATCCCTGACTGTCCAGTGTCTTAGGATGTCCTCCCGACGTGAAAAGCCCTATACACATGTGATTTCTTCTTGTTGTTATACAGACTGAGGATCTTGTCTGAGACTTTCCTATTATTGCTTTGTCAAACAGTATCTAGGCAGTGGCTTCAACAATTGAGCCATTGCAGGACTTCCACCTAAATCTGCTGATATATGCTGTAGCTGCGTATTTAACCCTTCCACTCCCTACTAACTGTACAATTGTCAGAAAAGTGGAACTTTTGTAATATGCTCTTTGGCTATGATTGCATAATGCATGTTTGAGCTTTATCTAACTCCAGGCTTGAAGGTCTCAACAGTTTTCCTCCCTCTACTTCATAACAACGTTTCGGGGTTTTCTGTGGAGCGACTAGTGCACACAGGGTTGGAAAATTGCATACCTTTCCAATCACTGGTAACAATCAGGAAAGAGTACCTTGAATAACCCAGAGCGACTGAGCCTAATTGCAGTCCCTGACCAAACATCACCTCCTCTGACATCAGCTAACTCAACAAGGGCCATGGAAGCAATCTTGGTCCCTGTGTGTGCAGGGCTGCATTCACACTGGTTATTTGGGGTAACAAATCATCCAGTTAGAAATTAAATTATAGGTTTAGGAGGTAAATAACAGTTTTATGTGCGTTGTGTTACTTCTGTGCCTGGCCATCATTGCGGATCTGTTATGAATGAAGAAGTCTTTGTGGACCTCAGCCAAACCAGATGATCACAGTGTTTGCCAGCAAGAGAGAGATGGAAAGTAATGCATCGTAAAGCTATATTAAAAACAAACATTTTCTCAACTAAGAGCAATTTCAGTTGGGAAGCCTTTAAACAGAACCCAAACAAGCACAAATTAATGCCATCTTTAAATATATGGTAAGAATCCAGGATTAAATGCTAACCATAGTTAATCATCCAAATTGATACCATATTTAAGTGAAGATTACAATGTCACTCTGGGAATGGAAATCACATTTATTATTGTTATTTTACTTAGAAAGAAACAAGTCTATATCCAAACTCCAGCAGCTTTCACAAAAGATACTGGGAATTGGGTGAGGGTTAGTTGAGACGTGTTTGCGTAAGTCTGTTTTGAAGGAACTTTTGTAACTTTTGGCAATACATATATAAAAAAATCCTTTTTATTTTGCTTCTTCCCAATTTTTATTTGTATTTATTTAGATTTTTCTCCCTTCTCTTCAAGAGTTACTGCTCCATGTCCCAGAACAAAACCACAAAGCTGGCCAGTGCTTCTTTGCAGCTGGTGGTTAGGAGGTGCACAAGTCAGCCATGGGATGATGACTCTTTCCCTGAGGATCTGACCCCTGCTCGGCGCCTGTCTGTGGTTTACTAACAGTAATGTCCTCGCGTTTCATGTGGCGCTTTATCACGTTGAAACATCTCAAATCGCTTCACACAATGAATTCCTTTGAAGTGAAATGACTCTTTTATAGGGAAAGACAGCAGTTAATTTGCAGTAGCGATGTACCTCCAGCAAAAGCGAGACAGATGACCAGTCAACCTTTTTATTAGCAAATTTGAATGTGAAAGAAATATTGGTCAGGAAATCTAAAGGATTTCCTGCTCTTTTTCACAATAGTGCAGTGGGATTCTTAATATCCATCTGACTAATGTCCAGTTGTTGTTGTTGACTCACTAGGTCAGGGTGACGTGATTATGAGTAAAAGTCTTGGGGTTTCAAAATTGAGACATTCTGATGTAGAGAAGACAGTGCTACCAAATAGTGAGACTGATAGCTTTATATCCAAGAAACCATTTGACACACTCTCGCTGTAATGCACCAGTGTGACTGTAACTCCTTGATATGATGCACACTGTTTACCATTCCCTCTTTTAAAATGCTGCAAACCATCCTATCTTTAACACAGCACATAGCCTCGATGTAACACTTTATGATGAAAGCTAGGTACATTTTTCACTAATTTACCATATCATTCTCAGATTTCAGAATTATTTCTGATTACTTCGTACCTCTAATAAGTATGTTATCACTTGTTTGTATGATAACCCGAGATCATCAATAATAAATTGGTCATTTTTAATCTACGACTTTGTGGGACATTGTTGTGCGCAATTGGCTGCTGCGTTCGCCCACAAATATACAGTCAATTCACTTTACAGTGTGTTCTGTGAAGCGCTTTGGGACGTCCTCCCGATGTGAAAAGCTCTATATCAAATGCAAGGATTATTATTATGATCATGAATATTGTTATCCTCACGAAATTTGTGGGAGCTGGCATCTAATAATCTGTGTAACGTTTACTCCTGTCTCCTGCTTGGCTATCTTTGCAAAGTGAAGTCAGACCTGTGGTAATACTGTGCATTGTTTTTTACATCCTTGTTTCAATGGCTTGTCAGGAAGGCTAGTTGAAGTCAAGATGCTTGAATCATTTAATCACAACAGCTTGATGCTGTAATGGGAGAAAAAAAAACGGGTGGCATTCTGGAAGGATGAGATCAAATGGGCTTTCATCCAAACGTCTCTTGTGATCTTTGTTAATGACCAGATTCCTTCCTATTATGTGTCTCAACTGTATACCCCTCTTAACTCTCCACCCCACTCCCCACCCCTGTTGTGCTCAGGTAGCCTACAGCGCTAACTTGATCTGTAAAGCCAGTGTTTCCAAGGCAGCTAGATTCAAATCCCCTATTGATCATTGAGGGACCAGGAGGTCAAGACTAGCTGGTGGGGCTTCCACTATTACTTCCAGGTGTTTGTACAGAATGGGTCCTGAATAAAATTGACTGTTATCTTGTAGTCACAGATCTTAAAATGTATAATGTGAATTGTTCATTTGCTAAGTCCTTGTCCTGTTTCTTGTTATAATAGCGTCTATCATGTGCGAATTGCCAAATATGGAAATGCCGTTATAAACAAAGAAAAAAATAACTGTTTTTACTGATAAAAGCATGATACACCTCCACGACTGTTACTATTAAATGGCTATTTAAAAGTTGTAAATCAAAAAGGTTTTGAAAAAACTACAGTCAATGGAAAGGACAAGTGAACAAATGAGCAAAGGATGCGTGACTTTTAATTTTGTTCCTAATTTTTAATTGCAAAATAATTTTCTCCTAATAATGATTTAAAACAGGAAAAAGCTTAAGCTAAACCATGTTTGCAGTATGATTGACAGGGCCCAAGTCGGGACTTTAATCACATAGTCTAGGCTGACACTCCAATGCAACAACAACAATTTATATCACGCCGCTCAAGCAGGGTAGCGTCCCAGAATGCCTGCAGTGTTGCCTGCCAGCATACTCCTATACTTTCATCTCAATAACAACAACAAGATTCCATTTATAGAGCGCCTTTCACGTCGGGAGGACGTCCCAAGGCGCTGGACAGTTGGGTCAGGACCCGAGCAGGCGGGAAATGGTCAGGGTGAGGGCAGGGAAGGGAGGGAGCGAGGAGGGGGTAATAATAATAATAATAATCCTTGCATTTGATATAGCGCTTTTCACGTCGGGAGGATGTCCCAAAGCGCTTCACAGAACACACTGTAAAGTGAATTGACTGTATATTTGTGGGCGAACGCGGCAGCCAATTGCGCACAGCAATGTCCCACAAACAGTCGTAGATTGAAAATGACCAATTTATTATTGTTTTTGGTTTTGGAGGGATTATTATTAGCGTGTGGAGTAAGGAAACTTGCCCAAGGTTTCGCCCTGTGCCTGGAATTGAACTCAGGTCTCTCGCTTGCAAAGCGAGTGCTCTAACCACTGAGCTACAGGACTCCACAAGTGGGTAGAGAGTCGAGAGGGGAGCTGAAGGCACGGTCAAAGAGAAAGGGCTTGAGACCGGCTTTGAAGTAGGAAAGGGAGGAGGCGGCGAAGCCACTGGGGGATGGAGTTCCAGAGCCTCGGGGCTGAGAGGCTGAAGGCCCGGCCACCAATGGTAGGGCGGTTGGGGCGGGGGATGTGGAGCAGACCGGAGCCAGAGGAACGGAGGGTACGGGCAGGTAAGTAGTCTGTTTGTCACCATGAGCACTGGTGTAAAAAAACTATAGAAACAGGAGTAGGCCATTTAGCCCTTCACACCTGCTCCACCATTATATCACTTCATAGTGGCTCTTTATTCAATCCCATTTACCCCACCGTCTCTCCATACCATTTAATGTCCTCATTTCCCATCTCTCTCTGAAATGTCTCGATCGATTCTGCATCTATACTTTCCCAGGGGTGATTTATTTATACATTATTAGAACCTTTTGTGTGAGCAAAGCTCATTCTGCCTTCATGTAACAAATTGCAGCCTACAGCTCCCATTGCCATTTTCACACCAGCTACATTAGCTCTCTCTGAGTAAGACTCCATTTCAGGGATACATGGTGCTTAAGTATGGACAGTTTTGACCTATTGGCCCACATTCATGAACAATAAAGTTGAAACTACCAAAGTAAGTAACTTCAGGCAGTATAACCAGAGAGAGAAAGCCTTTACTAGGTTCAACCTGTAGTTGCTGAGGTGCAAATATGTCTCTCTTTCTAATAATCCTTGATGATTCATTGATGTTAATGTCCTGTAGCTCAGTGATTAGAGCACTCGCCTTGCAATCGAGACATCTGGGTTCAATTCCAGGTAGGGAAACCTTGGGCAAGTTTCCTTACTCCACATGCCTCATAATAATCCCTCCAAAAAACAAAAACAATAATAAATTGGCCATTTTCAATCCATGACTGTTTGTGGGACACTGCTGTGCGCAATTGGCTGCTGTGTTTCGTCCACAAATATACAGTCAATTCACTTTACAGTATATACTGTGAAGTGCTTTGAGACGTCTAGAAGATGTGAAAAAGTGCTATATCAAATGCAAGGATGATTATTATTATTATTACTATTATATAGTCTCTAACTATGATGCTCTTCTTTGTGACCTGACCTTACTTTGAAATGCTTCTCAGCATGATTTATTTTTGCTAGATTTCTGTAAGTAATTGCTGTGAGGTCTCCGTTACTTATAGATTTTCATACATTGTATGCATTTAACCATGGACATGTTCATATCAATTTGCTATTGTGCTATTTAGTACAAAATTGGCTATTTGCTGAGTAAACGTGACCTTGTTTCTCCTTGTGTTTTGCACTCCTTTTATCTACAGATGATGGCTGCACTAATAACTTCACACCAAACCAGGTGGCTCGTATGCACTGTTATTTGGACCTGGTTTATCTTGGATGGATCCACTCTAAAAAGCCATCTCTCGCTCCCATTCCTGTGGCCCCAGAAGTGATAGCACAGACAGTAAACTCTGTCACCATTCATTGGTTGCCTCCAATTAGTGGGATGCTCTACGAAAGGTGAGACTTTGAATACTAGTATCCAAAAGGAACCCTATTTTTGCTTTATGCAGATTCCTGATCGCTTTTGATCATATACAACAACATACATTTGTTTTGGGGACCATGCTGTGTGAGAATGGCTACAGCATTTCCATGCAGCAAATAGTCACAACACTGTACAAAGATTACTGTAAAGCATTTCGAGACTTTTTGATTTGTAAACAGCTATAAGTTCTTCCTTCTGATTGATAAAAATAATTCCCATTAATAAGTACATTGGCATTTTTAGCAATCAATACCAGTGCTGACCCACATGCAATACATTCTGGAGGCGATGAGTTAATCACAGAAGATCACACGGTTTACTACTGCTATGTTTCCTTGATCTTATTGAGGGAAGATGCATTCCGTTTAATTTGTTGACGTTCTTGTTTGTATAGGGATTAGATCAGAATTTTTTTGACTTCTGAACTTGGGGCTTATGTGAGGAGCAGTGTTAATAAAGCTTGGTTTTCCCAGAAACAGCAGCTGTTCCTCAGTTCATGTGCCAGTATGTGTAATGTCACACCTACATTGTGTCACTTTCTTGTGCCCGGATAAACGTTTATCCTAGTCAGGATTCAGAAGAAAACTCTAGTTAAGGTGTACTTCAACATGCCATCCTCTTAAAACCGCACAAAAACTATGCTTCCGAGCTGGCAGGGAATTCTTCTCAGAAACCGTGGAATTAACGATCATTTCAGGAAAATGGCAGTGATTTTACAGCAACATTATGTGGGATTTACAAATTCAGAGCAAAGCTAGCCAGAAGTAGGCCAACATCTGTGAGTGATTCCTTTGGCAGTGACAGAGCACAGCTTGCGCAAATGTTAGTATGCTGTATGAAGACCATATGCAACATCTAAAAGGTTTGCGGGATGGATCATATTTAAAACCACTCTACTTGGTCACTAGGTTGTTGAGGCTTGCTGTTGCTTTCCATGCAGCATCATTTCTCCAGGTACCAAGTGAACCACAGTAGCTGATCGTCATGTTTCTTTTATGGTATCAATATTGGATTGCTTTGACACAACATAATGTGGAGTCGTTTAGCGTAATTGTTAGAGCACTCATCTCGTTAGCGAGAGGACCAGGCAGGGCAAGTTTCTTTACTCCACAAGCCTCTGTTTACCAGTATGTAGGAGCCCAGTTGTTAATCAATTGGCCGTCTGCTTTTTTGGGGGTAACAATCCTTTCAAAAATATAAATAAAAATAATAATAATTTGATCACTCAATGAACGACTATTTGTCGTGTGCAATAGGCTGCTGTGTATCGCCCACAAGATGTACAATCAATTCACTTCACAATGTTTTATGTGAAATGTTTTCTCGAAGTCGTGATAAGGGCTCTACATAAAATCCAAAGAGTATTATTATTACTACGATAAAGCTCATTAAAATCTGAAAATGGAAGCATTTGAGATGACAGATCAGATCCTGTGTTTTTTGGTTCGATAAATTCATTTTTCTAGTTTCTTTCCTTGCTCATTATACCCTCAATATTGCTCCAAGAGACAGAAAGAGAGTGCACAGTTGGCTTTCAGGCTGTTGCCAGAGTAAATGAAAAAAGGCATGCAGAATGCATTGTAAACTCATTGTCTTATTACCCTCCTTGTCAGTCTGTGATTACATAGCCACTGACAGGAACCATCTGACATCTCCTTCCCTGTGGTTAGTTTACACTGCTAACCTGATCGGGGTGGGAAAGTTGTAATGTAGACAATGGGTACACAAAGTACCGCCCACAGGCTAAATCAGCAATGCCAGGCATATTAGACTTACTGCAAAAGGCGATGCTAAATTAAAAAAATGCTTTCTTGATCTGGTACATGATTTTATTCAGGTTGACATTTCAGCGCAATACTGGGAAATTACTGCATTGGCATTCGAAAGAGGTTTTAACCCAAGCTCCTGTTTACTGTTCAGGTGAATATTTAAGATCTCATGGCATTATTAATATCATAGACTGGAATATTCACTTTCCTTTTCAATAAATGCCGTGGAGGATTTTAAAAAGTCCACCTGAACCTCAGTTTAATCTCACCTGAAGGATGGCACCACCAATTCAGCAATACCCAATACTGCATTGGTGTGTGATTCCAGATTGTGAGTGCAACATCTTGACGTGGGGCTTGAACTCACAACAATCTTACTGAGAGGCAAGAGTGCTATTAACCGTACCAAACTGAAACCTTGAGAATGTTTCAGAGTATTCAGAGGATTAAGGGTGTGTAATTGTGGACATTATTTTGTGATTCTCCACAGACTATTTTTCTATTTTTCTTTCCTAGAGAGGTGGGAACGCAGTGTGGAGATTGCAGTGAAGATGGGACATTGTATCAGTATGCACACACAGCCTCGTCCCCTCGTGTCTGTGATTCCTCTGGTTACTGGACCCCTAAAGAGGCTGTGGGTAAGAATTTCATAAAAAAAGTTTTTTGTGCTATCTGATCGATTTATCTTGCCCTATTTCTTCCCTCATTCAGTTCACACAATGTCAATCTGTGATTACAACAACAACAACAAGATTCCATTTATAGAGCGCCTTTCATGTCGAGAGGACGTCCCAAGGCGCTGTACAGTTGGGTCAGGACCCGAGCAGGGGGGAAATGGTTAGGGTGAGGGGAGGGAAGGGAGGGAGTGAGGAGGGGGTAGAGAATCGAGAGGGGAGCTGAAGGTACGGTCAAAGAGAAAAGTCTTGAGACCGGCCTTGAAGGAGGAAAGGGAGAAAGCAAGGCGAAGGCACTGGGGGATAGAGTTCCAAAGCCTAGGGGCTGAGAGGCTGAAGGCCCAGCCACCGATGGTAGGGCAGTTGGGGCGGGGGATGTGGAGCAGACCGGAGCCAGAGGAACGGAGGGTTCGGGCAGGTAGGTAGGGGGATAGTAGGTCAGAGAGGTAGGAGGGAGCGAGGCCATGAATGGCCTTGTAAGTGAGGATGAGGATCTTGTATTCGATTACGTAGCCACTGACAGGAACCATCTGACATCTCTTTCAAATGGCCCATTCTCATGTGCGAGCCTCAGATACTGAGTGCCATTATGCTAGTTATCAATGCTATCACAATCCTCAACTCCATACCCACAATTTACACGGTTCACCAGAGGTTACTGGGTAGTGATCCAGAATGTAGTGAAGTATAGTTCTGGGTTTAAAATCCCTTTTCCTTTAAGCATCCATAAACATCATTGGGCATCGAGTGAGATGTTGGTATTTAAGGCGTCCACAACGGCTAAATCCTGGGTAAGTATTCTAGGCCCAACTGCAGTTAGTGGGAGACTAATGAAGCCTATTCCTATAGAAAACGAGGTAAGGTCAAAATTATCCACCCACCCTATTCAATGTATCGGATAGCATCTAGAGCGATGGACTTTGTGTGCTTGCTTCCAATAAAATTGTGGTGATTGCAGATGATGATGTGCTATTGGCATACTCACTTGGGGACCTTGTGTGCTGCACTCACCAAGTTAAACATTAGGACACTGAGTACAACATTACATTGCTTTCAGTCCTTTAAATATCTGGAACAGAAACTCCTTGCTTTTATATTGACACTTCATTGCAGTGCTGGGGGTCTGCTGCATTGTTGGAAGTGCTATGTTTCAGATGAGATGTTAAACCAAAGTCCCGCCTGCCTGTTCACTTTAAATTTGTTGTTCACTTCATGGCTGTTTGTCAGATATTACACTGCGCAGCCATCCACAAAACACAGTATCCCCTTTACATTAAATCCTGTGAAGACCTTGGGCCAGCATCCCATTTGCCTGTGTCTGCCCCTGCAGATTAAATTATAATACTCTATAAAATTGAACTGTTAGGTCTCTTTGCTCATCTAACATACTCCCAACTCTTATTTGTATGTCCCAAGCATATTAACTCATACTTTGACAGCATTCGCACGCTATTCTTGGCCATCCAGCTTCCCCTCTTCAATCATCAACCTCAAGAAACCCTCACTCAATCCCTCCGTGCTGTCAAACTCCTTACCCATTTCCAACTTGCCCTTTCTTTCCAAAGTCTTGGAATGAGTGGTTGGCATCCCGTGTTTCTTGTATCCTCTTAATTTAATCTCTTTAATGGCTTCTCCAACTACAGTGCACAGTCACATGTTCCTCAAGATGCTTTTCTTGGTCCTCTTCTTTTCAACATCTATATGCCTCATTTGATGCCATCATCTGTAGGTTGATGATACCTAACTCTATCCCTCTGCCTCTACCCTCATTTGTAGGACCAAAGCCATTCTGAACAAATTGTATAGCGCCTGTCACATTCAGATGATGTCCCAAATCTTGAATGAATTCTAACCTCCTACAGTTAGATATCAATAAAACTAAGGTTCTCTTGCTTGCTTCTCTCTGCACCTTCTCACTGACTGCATCTCACGGAGATGGTGAGGAATATCGACTTCTCACCCCACTACGCTGTACTTCAAGCTTTACACTTGGGCTCTCATTCATTTCACTTTCTTCACCTTCCAACCTCATCTATCTCCATCAATATTTTTCTGCCCAGGCAATTGAGACCCTCACCCACATTCTCAACAAGTCCATTATTCCCATGTCCTGATGACTGGAATCTTTAAACTACTTGTATCAATCCAAAGACTTGTCCTGATACAGGGGCGTAGTCGTTCAGTTTTGCTAAGGAGTGAGCAGGGTTTGTGATTATGTCAAACCAATCAACCAGTCAAGTCTAATTTTGTCACACACTGATGATTAGATACTTGGTTACTTTTTTCCAACATGTTGAAAGTGTGAAATCCATAAGAAAATGCATAATAGAAAATCTGCTACAGTTAGTGATGGGTGATGATAGACCTGGCCATCTCTGAATTGCAAGTTACATTTTGGGTAAAAACGATATTGGGTGCTTGCAGGGCAAAAGCTTGATTGAACATGAGATTTAATGTCCAAAGTTTGTATTACTTACAAATAAATTAAACTTTGAAACTGGAAGCTGGAGTTGTAATGCTGTGATGATGGCTTGATCTGGTACTCTGATGTTAGGTGGGCTTGGATATGTTATCCAATTGTAGCCTTTAACTCTTGCCGTTTATTCTATGATGTATGCATGAAACTGATTATGCTCCTTGGGAAGCAATGGGTACATTGTCAAGTAGTGCCTGTAATTTGTACATGAATATGGAAAGTGGGGTGGGGAGGAGCATAAGCTCACGTGTTGTGCGAATTGTTCCAACTCTCAGTTTGACGTATGAAAGTTGTATGAAAATCCCTCAGTACTTAGCAGGACCTGGAGGTGTTTGGAACTGTTTGATCACACAGAACTGCCGATTTTTTTTTCACTGACTCAAAAACAGGTGGGAAGCATCTGGCTGTATAGCGTGGCCTTGATTAACAGAGTGTTGGGAAATTAAATCCAAAGGAGAAAATAATACTGGGAAGATCATGAGAAAAACATGAGTTGCTGACAGAGGGGAGGGCCATGAAAGTCTTTGACCCACACCATGCTGCAGTGGGCAGGTTCACATGGCAGTGTACACAGTATACATTATTAGGAGGAGACCTAGGACTTGGAAGGGCAGACCAGTCACTGGGGGTAGGAAATCATCCCATTCAGCTCCTGTTAACCTTGCAAGCCAAAGCCCTAATGGTAGGATGGTCCTAACTGGACAAGTAGCGGGAAAGCTTGCAAGATGGTGATATCAATGGCCAGCTTTGCTGGTTTAGCTGGTCAGACTCCAGCAGTTACCCCAGTGTACAGTCTGGGGTCCCCAAGCCTTGGCTCTTGCCATTGTTCTTTTTCTTTCCTTGTTTCCAACAGTATTGAGTTGGGTCTAGTTCCTAGTTAACTTCCCTCCACAAGGCTCTGGTTCCTTGACGATGTGACCATTCTTCACAGATGAGCCTAAACAGTGAGTGTTGGCAGGCGACACAAGCACTGAGCAGGGTTGAGGGTGAATATCACAGGTAAGCCCAGTCCTGTCCTATCCCAACATCAGCACGTGTTTTCCAGCAGGGGTCACTGAACGGCAAGTGAAAGAAAGAACTCTGGTGTGGGACTCTTTTTTCTCTCTAAACAAACATAGACTCCAAGTCTACCATTTCCCAATTGGCGCTGTTGATTGCATAGATTACTATCACTCAGGAAATGGAGTCCTGTCTATTTTCAAAAAAATACAACAATTCAATACAGAATACCGCAAGGCAGAGCTGGCGGTGAATTGCAAGCTGCAATTCACCCTTGGAAGTTCTGTTGATGTTTCTTGGTGCGATCTATGACATCTCATTAGACCTCAACTGAACAACACTCTTTCTTGCAGTTTCTTGCAAGTGTTAATATAATTGATAGAGATTAGGTCACTGGAGGTCAATGCTGGAAAAGTCTTGAGCAAGTCAAAAATGTTAAAAATACAAGCAGCTCTGAAACTTAGTAGTTAACTCATTGACTACAGGACATTCCCGTGACGTTTAAAAGTCAAGATAAACGGACACAAAACATACACACTCATTTATAAGATAACACAATATAGCAGTAATTATCACAATAAGTGCAAATTGAAATCTGATATGTTGTTTATATTGGATGTCCGGGCTGCTTTGTTGATTTGTTTAACGGTTTGATGCTGTGAAGTTGATCATTAGGGGAGAGCGGCAGCCTTTAAAGAAACAGGCACAGCCGTGAATTAGAGAATCCAATGTCGGAATTCCTCTACTATTATGGGCATAGAATTATAGGAAGTTTACACTAGAATCACAAAAGGCAGCGCTGTCTGAAAATAGCATGTTTTTAAAGCAACACATCCAGTTGATGAATATGTGGAATTAGACCCTCCATCTCTCACACTCCTCAACTGATTTTTCTGTCAAATAATTATCCAACTGCCTTTTGAAGATGCTAGCAGATTTGTCCCCACCATCTCCACCCATTCCACATATTCACCATGCGCTGTGTAAAGTTATTATATTTCAACTGTTCAATGTCCCTCTTCTGAGATAAGTCTGAAAAAGTTTTTTTTTGTAGTTTTGTGACCATGTTTAACAGATTATTAGGTTGATCCATACACTTCAGGATCTTCTCCTTGTAACTCAAAAACTATTTCTGACTAGCTTTTTGGTTGACCTTCGCTGTATCCTCGCCAAGACAAACCAGAATGGTACACAGTACTACGGGTGAGGCAAGGGCAGTGCTGTGCAGAAGTTCAGAATCACGTCCTGTGACATAATGTTCTGCATATGAGACATTTAGCTACAAATACCAGGATACACCCTTTGTATTTAAGGTAATACGCTAATCTGGAAATTCTTCTAACAACAACAAATTGCATTTGTATAGCACCTTTCAAGTCAGGAGGACATCCCAAGGCGCTGGACAGTCAGGCATTTAGATCCAAGCTGGGGTCGGGATCAGGAGGGGTGGAGGGTAGGGAGGTTAGGAGGGTGACCGAAGGCGCAGTCGAAGAGGAGGATCTTGAGACGGCCCTTACAAAACTTATAAAGTCTGCTGTGTGCAATTGGCTGTCGCATTTCACCCACAAAATATACAGTCAATTCACTTCACATTATATCCTGTGAAGTGCTTTGAGTCGTCTCGAAGATGTGATAAGGCGCTATATCAAATGCAAGGATTATTATTATTATAAACTCACTCAAGTTTTGTTTCCATCACTTATGATGCTGCCTGAACTCATGGGGTAGCTTACAGTTAATAACGCCCTCTGACTATCTGTAATTCGATACATTACACCACGTACTTACATGTCAGTAAATGTTCTTTTCAGCTGTGTCACTGTCACCTCTGGTCCCTTCTGAAATGGAGGGATCCTGATGATCTTGTACTTAATGGGCTTGCATTCGAAGCACAAGGGATCGTGAGATTTTGAGGTCAACAGGGCAGCATCAAGCTCCATTTTCTCATCAAATGTGTAGATCTTCACACCAGTGACTTTTTTCTTGACGTTCAGTTTGACAGTGAGAGGAATGTCACAAAAGACGTAGTAGGCCCCTAGCTCAATTTGTTCTCCGTTGCTGGTTAAGATCTTAATGTTAGAGATAGCCCTGTCTGTGCTTGCAGACATATAGGTCACCCACGCAGTCAAGGACTCAGCGATGACAGGGTGCAGGAAGTGAAGCTCCAACATGCACCCATCAGGCTGAGGACAGGGCACGGTCATGTTCATATGGTAGAGGTGAAGCTCTGGATTCCAGGCATGTAGGCTGGGCTCACACGGCTCATCCACATCAGGAGTCCCTGCACCAGATATTACAGCTTTATTTTTGAATCAATACACATCATTTGTCATAGCATAATCACATCGTGTTTTTATTGCTGTGAGAAATTGGCTGCCCCGTTTCGCTCACAAAATGCACAGTCAATTCACTTTACAGTATATTCTCCTGTAGCTCAGTGGTTAGAGCACTCGCCTCGCAAGCGAGAAACCTGGGTTCGATTCCCAGCAGGGCGAAACGTTGGGTAAGTTTCCTTACTCCACACGCCTCTGTTTACCTAGCTGTAAGTAGATTGTTCGTCGATTGGCGGATCGCTTTTCCGAGGGTAATAAATCCTTCAAAAAATAAAAGAATAATAAATTGGTCACTTCAATCCACGATTGTTTGTGGGACACTGCTGTGCGCAATTGGCTGCTGCATTTCACCCACAAAGTATACCGTCAATTCACTTCACAGTATATTCTGTGAACAGTTTTGAGATGTCTCAAAGACGTGATAAGGCGCTATATCAAATGCACAGATTATACTATTGCCTTATTGCTTTTGATGTGGAGAGCTTTGAGACATCTCGACCTGCAAGGATTATTATTATTAAATGCAAGGATTATTATTATTCATATTCAGACTCTTTTAAAGACTAAAATTCTCATCTCATGTTTACTTTAATTTT